GGTTGCTGACCTCATTGCATGCAGTAACTTGGATCACAGTGTAGTAGTAAGCCATGTCTCACAACGTTCTCAACTCCGCCCATGATGCGCGTGCACCGTTGCAAAGATGGGTGACTTACACTCAAACAGAAATCATCCACTTGAAGCAGGAACTACGTGCCGGAAAAGAACAAGAACAATCAGTTCGAATTCTCCAACAGCGACAACTCGATGTGATCCAATCCCAACTGAGAGATTCAGATCAGAGGCTGTCAGAAATCGCAGAAGCCATCACTGAACTGTTTAGCAAACAGAAAACCGTTCATGATCTTTTAGCGCAGTTGATGCGAGACATGAATGCTCTGAAAGAGCAGACTCAACAGCCAGATCCACCGATGGCCATTCCGGACACTCAGCCATATGGTTGAGCAACTCCTTGTACAGACTGCCTCAATCAGCCGATTTCAATTTTTAAACCTCTAACAGTGATACACATCATGCTTGAGTGCTTGGTTGTCAGTTCAGCATTGCATGTTGCAGGCAGGGACATGTCAGTCATGTGCTTCAAGTGCTTGCCAGATGATGTTCATGTAGAGTCAAATCCAGCTCAGGCTCCAACAAAGCAAGCCCCTGTAGAACTCCACCACACGACATGTCGTGGGACCAGCAGCACAGTGACCAGTGGTGGAACAACAGCAGCTGGAATGCCAGAAACAGCGGTTGGCAGGGCAGTGGTTCGTGGTCCTCAGGATGGCAGACTGCAAACCCAGCACCCCCCGTCACGCCAAAGAACAAGAAGCCGGAACCGGAAGAGCTCACATCACCACAAGGCTACAGCAAACAGGACTACAGCTTTCCACCATCTTTCCAGCAGAAACCCGGCTTTCATGATTCACATGAAGCTTTTGGGTTGGAATCTCCGTCCACCATATTGCCAACAGTGTGGGCATCGCAACGTTCTTTTGCAGGACGTGATGTTCGTGAAGTTCCACTACATGAGCTATGCTACAAAGGCCTTGGCAATTATCCCTCCGATCGTTTGCAAACGGCCGATACCTCAACATCGTTTTTGCCAGAAGCATCAAAGAAAGCGTGTCTCACAAACAGTGCTTACAGCAGTACGGGAAAACAAGATCGACTTTTGGACCAAGCAGCAGCCAACTTTTGTCAACAACACCATGTCTCCATTGACAAAAGTAAATCAGAAGCCAACATTAAAAAGCCACAGACTCAAGCACTTGCGGAGTGGGTCACCCAACAGCTCAAGCCGTTTGCACCTGATGAAACACCTGTCTCAGTACCTGACTCACCCCCCGACAACAAACGCAAGCCTGGCCCTAGCCGTGGCAATCAGCCAAGCAAGCGGCAAAAAGCAGCCCTTCCCACACAAGACGGTACACCGTCACCACCACCTGCCAAGCCCGTCAACACAGATTTTCTGAGCAAAGCACTCACCTTTGACGGAGCGCCAGTCCAGCGAACATTAGCAACAAACGCACCTTCCACAGCCACACCAGCAGCTGTCAACAGACAGATGGATTGAAGTCAAGCTCCAGCTTGACACGTGCACTGAAGGCATGGTCAAAGCTATCAAAGAGCCACCCAAAGACGAACAAGCACAAATCCCAGACCAAGCAGCAGCATATGGTCTACCGATCTCTGTAGCAGCTAAACCAAAGAACCCCGCGCTCCTCAAGATCTTTTTTGCTGCCACCGCGTTGGCCGAGTGACTGTGTCATGACATGTGCAGTTCTACCCGTTTGCGTCGACATGCACCTTGGCAGTTGGCAGTTCCTCATTCTTTCGCGTCAGATAGTTTAAAGGCAGCCTTATACGAACCTATTTCGAAACTTTCGCTTGATGCTACATGGACTTGCAGCGACTACATCATTGTTGTCTACAAATCATGTGGCAGATTCTTGCAATCGAGTTCGTATGTGGCGCCGACGGACTCGTTCAAGTACATGGTCGCAAATTTTCCTGGTACAAAATTATTCAAGCTTTCCTTTCTCCGCACAGTACCTATCTTCTAGTGTCGGCAGCTTTTTCTGATGTTCCAGATGACCAGAATACAGCGCCATGTTTTAGGATTCAAAAGGAGTTCTATGTCGGTTGGACATCCTGTTCATGGCACCGCCGACAAGAGCAAGACTGCGCAAGTGCAAACAGCTACAACAACTTGTCCAGCCTATCTCGTGCGAACTAGCTTTACATTAAACCCAATAACATCGAGGATTACATCCTGATTCCACTTATTGTGCGTCAGCTGCCCACAAAGAAAGTTTCTTGTACCAAATTTGTTGTACATTCTCGGTCTACAAAGTATGGAGTGCCACGCACAAGACTCTTTCGCAAGATTCGCAAGCTCAGACATCGCATGTTTCATACAATGCGGCTTCATCTTTGCCATCGCAGATTCTTTCGAGATGATCATCAGTTGCATGTACTATTTCAGCTGGCGGACAATTCCGTTCAGTCTTTTCACATGGCCAAGTCATTACGCAGTGCGCAATACTCTATGGAAAAAGTTTTTGAGCATATCGCTTGGCCCAACAATTTGGAGGACCCACCTCGATCTAAGGTGGGTGGCCTACTCAAACGCGCCATACAGTTCGAAGGGGCTATGCTTCCCTGCCGTGCCAAAGCGTTGATTATTCCGGTATTCGCGCACAACACTTTTACAACCCACGTTCGCTCATGGCTCAGACGCATTGTTATTAACCGGCATTGTTATTCACCGCAAAGATTTTCTAACCTCTTTTCATCTTCCTGTTTGCAGCGTTGTCCCCGGCAAGTTTCCCACCATGGAGAACAAGCTGTATTCCCACTTCAATTAGATGAAGAAGTTTTCGTGGCATCATGTCCCTGAGTGTTCTTGTCAACAATTGCGACAGTTACATCAAGATCTTACTGCCACAATTGTCAATGGCTCAGAACATATTGCATCAGAAGCTCGATTGCTCAATGTATCTCGTCGCTTGAAGTTTTGGTTGTCATGCAGTGCTCAAACACAGGTCTATCCAGACTTTGAGGAATATTTCCGTCTTAGTTGGATTGCTGTAGATCAATGGTTGCAGCATTACAAGATTGGTGGCATTTGCTATTGGACATGGCGTGAGTTTCCTCAGCAGCAATGGCACAGTCATCGTCAATCGGCCTTTGTCCCTGTTAGCATGCAAAACATCAAATTTATTCGGACATTGACTGAAGATCTAGTGGTACAAGGTCGGGATCATGCAGCTGCTCATGTTCATGTGTACTGTCCATTTCTGTCTCATCATGTCCTTCGCTCTACGTTTGGTGGCCCCAATGTATATAACAAAAGGAACATGACCCCAACTGCGGCCCAAACACATCTTTCAGAGATTGCCAGTAGCAAATGGCCACGCAAATATCGCTGGGGCATCAGGCCAAACACAGAAGTCCCCACGTCGTATAGTACATTGTGCGCAAAGCTAAGAAAAAGTTCTTGGGCGCAAGACCCATTATCAACTACCGGTCCTTTCCCTTCGGCCAATTGTTTCGGTGTACTGCCTTTGTGCTCATGGCCATGATGAAAGACGTATTCCACATTACCATGCCGCAGATGCTTCGCAATCTCCATTCTTTTCTCCGATGTACTCCACTTGGACATCATCTCCTCCAATCAAACCAAGATCTCGTTGGTTTTTTCACATCCATTCCTGCTGACAGAATTCAGGACGCTGAACATTGGATGATTGACAGATACAAAGCCATCCACAGCGACGACGACAGCATGGCATTCATTGTTTTCCCAAAGGAAAGGGACGTACAACTTCGAATTTTTCGAGGTACTAAACGTGCAGTACGGGGGCGTGCATTCCATATTCATCTTGGTGACGTTCTTCCACTGTGCATGCTCTCATTGCAAACGTCACTGTTCACACAGATGCAACACATCTTCCAGCAGGCAAGGGGAAGCGCCATTGGCAATCAAACTTCATCAGTACTTGCTGATATTGCTGTCAGTTATGTGGAAGAACAATGGTGGGTACAAAACGAACATCTTATTCGACCTCATCGCAGTCAATTTTTTTATCTGTCGAAATTAATTATTATATGTTGACGATCGGTCGGTTGTATTCTCCGAAGCCATTGCACATTTATCATGGATGAAGCAGTAGTTGTGCGAGCTTGGCTTTTATCAGCCTCCTTTTGAGCTTGAAGAAGTTGATTCTGGTGAGTTCCTTGATACCGGAAGAGAGGCGTCTTGCATTCATCATACCCGACAAGCAGTTTCAGTTTATGCCCTTAAACTCTGCTGGCAGTGAAAGCCACAAGATGGCTGCAGTCAACAGCAGAATTTGTTTTGCATCAAGGTGCTCTTTTCCTGAATCCCAAAGGGATCGAGATGTGCATGACATCGGCCGACAATGTGTCAACCGAGACTACCCAAAACACAAGATTGCCCTAATTCAGAAGAAGTTTCTCCGACAGTGACGGGTTCACACACAGTATCAGATCGCATGTATAATGCAATTATAATCCTTGGTTACCCCTTTCGAGGGGCAACTGTGTGTGTGTGTAAAACCCTGTCACCAAGGGAACCTAGCTACAACGCAGAAAAAGCAGGGGGCACCTGGGACATAAAGAGGTCTGGACGCAGAACTGACGTACCTGCTGTAAGACGGGATGGCCACCAGGCAAAGCCAAAAGCCTGGCATGCCAAGTCATGTGTGTGCATGTAGAGATAACCAAGATTGACCGAAGAACTGAAGCAGGGAACAAGATCAACAAGTAGGCTACGATTGTAGGAATACGTGCCAACTCATGTTTGGCTTCGGTCAATCGAGAGTCAATCAAGTGTGTGTTTGCGTGTTGGTGTGTGTGTATATATATATATGAACATGCCATGCGGAAAATCTGCACTCAAAAAATGAATGTATCTTGGCTCCGAAAAAGGGGAAGGCGGATTCAAGGAACGCGATATACATGGAAAAGGTCGCAAGGAATGACATGCCTGACCTGAACTTCGGCTTATACTGCGACCCGACCCGATCTCAGTTCGCAGCCCTGGCACGGCCTCCAACTGCCAAAGCCGGGCTTTCGTATTTTTGAGGCACCGATCCATTTCTTCCGGCCTCTCCAGCATGGAGTGTCTGTTTGAGCTTTGGCCAAATCTCGATGCAACCTCCTGCGCTGCCACCTGCGACACACATGGCAGCAGCCGCACGGCTAATCCGACCCAAAAGCCCTATGTGCGGAGCTCGGACATGAACGAGCCTCTGCAGCAAGGACCTCGTCAGCATTTGCCTCGTCCAGCCTCTGTAAGGTCTGCAGAAACGCTCAGAGTCTGAGTGTTTTAGAAAGGGTTGCAACTGCAACGTGGGGCGAGGCCCCCGGCAACCATGGGCCTGCCAGGTCCAAGCGCCCGGCACAAGCTCTCCTTGGAGGGATGAAGCGTTGCGCAATCTTGTCTCTTGTCTTGTCTTGGGCTATCTGCGGCTTGGCCAGGCGCAGGGCATGTCGAGCGGCTACTTCCTGCGAGAGACAGCGTTCCGCGAGCACCAAGGCTCCAGTAGTTCACGTTTGCATTCAGGCTCTGGCAGAGAAGCCGAAGTCCGTGAGTTGCCTCACCTTGAAACCGGAACACGCAACTTCGGGTTCTTCGGGGCAGCCCAGGCTGCCTTGTCCAGGTCCGCCGGCAAGGCTTCATCCGAAGGTGCACCGCTCTGGCTTGCGCTTGCTGCAGCTTGCGATCCTTATCAAGATCCCCGATGCTATGGGAAGATCCGTGCCGAACACTGGGCCACCGGGGCCGTGTGCCGCTCAAGCTGAAACGTTTCGCTCGCTCTCGAACCTGGCTGTGAGCTTCGCCGAACTCGCGAACATTCGCGAACGGAGAGTCGATCGCAAATCGCACCTTCCCGAACCTCAGAAACCAGCTCTCCAAACGACACCCGCGTGAGACGCTTGAGGAATCAGAGCCACCGGCTGCGTATTGGCACGATCTTTGGCTATTCCTGGAAGCAAGGCCAGTCGTAGCACGGCCATGTGTAGCACGGTGAGTCTCAACACGAGTATCGGCATGACACTTGTGAGCAACCCAGAAATCCCGATCCAAAGTGAGAAAGTCGACCATGTGTAGCTGCAGTGCAGAAAACATGCAGTGCATCCAAGGGGCGCAGTACCCGCGACATTTTGCCAACAGCGGCACGAACATCCTCAGACATCCTGGTACCGCAGCTTCGCATAATTCTTTATGCAGGCGGGGGTGTTGGAGCCCGCGCCTTTCTGAGTCCAGTCGGGCATCAGCAGCTGTCGCCTACCCTTCTGAATCTCTAAGCGGCTGAGCTAATGCTGAGATGATCGGAGCAGTCTTGCATAGGAAACTTTTGAAAGCTCTGCTTGAAGGAAGTAGCCGCAGCACGCAATGCAAACCAAAGTTGTCTTCGTTCCAGTCGGGTTTCCTGCTTCAGGCTGCAAGCTCCGTCGTTTTCAGAGCCGCTCGGTGAGCTCTTGGCACTGGGGATGGTGCGTGGCGTCTGCCTTTGCATCCTGCATCGTAGTATGTCTTGTTGTACTGCGGTGCCAGATGCAGAAGCCGACAGCTCTGCTGTGAGCAGCCGCACCCAATCACAAGCCCCAAACTGCACCCTCCTTCCTTCAGAAGTAGGTGTGCTCACAGCCCCGGCCTGTGACTGCTCGAGCACGCGTGTCGGCCATCATGAGATCAGGAATGGAGAAGTCAACTGTGCAAAGCATCTCGTAGTGGAGCTCCAGCCCAAGAATGCTCTGAAAGTCCGACTCGGCACGGAGTTGAAAAGTGAGCGTGGGACTCTCGTTTGCCAGTTCTCGAGCCATGGCATGAAGAAGCTCGTCGTCAACCTGCAGCGTCCCTTCTGCCACTACAGTTGCTGCGGCTTGCGGTGGAAGCATCATCGGCCCGGTGATCCCTGCACCCATTCTACGGCCTTCAAATACCAAGTGAATCTCACCCGACTCGGCTTCAGCCCCAATCAGATTCGGATTGTTTACTTCCACCTCTGCACGGAAGACTTGATCTGGCACAGTGGCGGTGTCGATGACAGAGGGACCGCCAGAGGCCGCCGTGACCAAACTCATTAACGCATCCACGTCCATCTGAAGGCTCGTCAGCCGCCACGTCGGATCACGCGGCCAGAGGAGTGCGAGCGAAATACCCAAAGCAATGACCACGATCCAGGCCAAGACACTGGTGACAAGGCAGCACTTGCGCCAACGACCGTCTTGCCAACACGGAGCCCACAGTAAGCCAGAGCACGGATTTGACCTAGAAACCTTCGCTGGGGAAGGGGACCCGATAGAAATGGCCTTGTCTATTTCCGATTCGAAGTCCGGCGGAGCCGACGGATCCGTGTCTGTCCTCACAGAGGCTGGCCGTACAGGAATGGAGGCCTGTCTTGCTGCAGGGGCGTGAAGGGAGGGTTCCCTAGCGATGTCGTCGAAGTCATCGATCTGCGAAATGACAATTTGCAGCCGTGCCTCGTGATCAGGCTTGCCTTTTCCGCGATTCTAGCCTCTGACTCAGGAGCAAAATCCAAACATGCAGCGAACCTGCGAATCGATCTCGTCAGAGGCATCTGATGCGACGACTCCGCGAATGGCACCTTGCACGCAAGCGTCTTTGAAAGGCTGCTCTTCAGCACTTGCAAACAACAACATGCCACAATTTGACATGCGAGAAGGGGAAAGCTTGCAAAAGCACATGCTGTTTGAGGCGATGAGTCTGTCGCCACTACCCCGGCTGTGCCCACTGCGCGCACTGCGCATGCTGCGGGTGCTTTGGAGCTTGGGCATGCTTCGCGCAGGGCTCGGAGGGCTCGGCGGCTCATCAGCAGCCGGCAAAGCTTGCTGGGCTGCACTTTGCCTTGCAACTTCGGGAAGGATGAGACTACGAAGAATTATAATCTTTCTGAACACAGTGCAAAAATGCGACCCAGGAGCGGCAACAGCACGGGCATGGCGCGGGACCCACAAGCTTGGGGCTGAAACCGCGATGTGGCTTGCGATTCCATGGGTCGTGCTCTCTTCAACCATGAATCATGAGGCGTGACACGAAGCAGGCCATATTTCTCGAGCACCATCTACGAGCCAAAGGAAATCCGAAGCCTTGTCGCATGTGGGCCAAGGCAAACGTTTCTTACTGCGCGCGATGCGTTAAGAATGAGGATAGAATTTTACAGACGCAGCCAATCACAACTGTTGCATATAGCTCATGGTTACATCCCAACGGAAGTAGGCTACCTGCCTCGTGTTTTCCAAATCCTGTTGTCTGTATCTGTAATCGAAGGCTTCAGCCTTGTGCTACATCTGCACATGCTCTATGTCACTCTATGTCCCACACTTAAGCTCGCAACCCCTCAAACCTCTGCAGTGAAACACTGTCCCCGAAACTTGCCTCAAGTGTTGGGGTGACTGTGTGACTGGTGGCTGGAAGCCCCGCTCTCAGAGCTTGTCGCCCACGGACGTGTCCCAGGCACCCACTGCCTGTCTCCAGAGTTTCCCTCTACCTTCCAAAAGTGAAATGTTAACAATCAACTAGCCTCCAATAGCTGTGCCGAAAGGCAGGCTACCAACACCTCATGAGCGCTCAAAGAGACTTCATCTCGGATGTAGCACAGAGGCCCCCGCCCCAGCAATGTCGATGATTGTGGAGAGCAAAGGCCCGCTGACCTGAAGGCGGCCGAATTCCCTGTCACTGAAGTTTTTCGTGCCGTCCGTGCCTTCGCTGGATCTGCCTGCAACGGCACACTGCCCTCCGACCCCTTCGACAACCTCCGACCCAAAAGATTCCGCGGCTCCCACGCCAGCCCGCTGCAGGAGAAGAGGGGCACTGGCACCAAACAGAACGGAGAAAGCCACCTCCGTCCGCACTCAGGTCTGCGACACGAGGCCGGTAAAGTTGTAAGGCCAGGCTCTGCATGGGAAGTTAAGATACCCCACAGCGATTGAGTAACTGGCATAGCCGCCTGTGACTAGCTGTCCAAATGGCACATGGAGGCTACGTGAGAAACTGTATACAGAGATAAATTCCCTAAACGACCCTTTTGCCAAACATCGGCACAACACAGGGTCGCCGAAAGGGTGAGCTAGCTATAAAAAATAAATGATTCCTCGTCAGGGTTCCTGCGAGGAGCACATCAAGGTGGGTGGATGCCGCACGAAAAGCCGTGGCCAGGAGCGATTGTGGGCATCACTCAGTGGCTCACTCAGCAGGGATTGTCCATGCACCAGGCCTCAGCCCGCCTAGTCTGCGGAAGCCCCACTCCTGCCTCGCACCACAACGGCTCCTGGACGAGCGCAGTGTGGACTGCGTCCGGTTCCAGCCAGAGCACGAGCGATGTGCTGCAGGACCACCGCAGCACCCTGGATCACCGCCGCGCCGTTGTCCCAAGTTCCAGTGGTCTCGACAACCATCAAGACGATGGTAACTGCCTGACGCTTCCAATCGCGGGCAGTGTCCAGATGCGAGTATTTGTGCTTGGCACACCTATCTCCGTAATTAGCAGCTTGGGTCTGGGTCTCCTGCCGCTGGGGTGACGGCAAAGTCCAGCGCAGCAGGTAACCGGCCAAGGCGGGAAGGTACAGTAGATGTCTGTCGGGTGAATTGAAGCCCGGCGAGATCAGCCCTTTGAAACACCAAATCTCGCACCACCGTGGTGATTCCAGCGATCCAAGATTCCATCGCATTGGGGCACCAGCAATCCTAAGCATCTGCAACCCCCCGGCGCCTGCTCAGTCGGTTACGAACGCCGCAGGCTCCATGCCGGTGCGGTGGGATGGGACAGCGTCACGGGCCCCTAAACCGGCCTCGGAGTGCAAACCGGCCTGAGCAACAGCAGTGGCCTGGCTGAGCTGTCTCTCCCAACCGAACGCGTCTATCGTCAAGGAGAGGCTGCGCTGGCGCTGAGTGCTTCCCAAGACAGCATCCAGCAACGTCGCTTGCCCTGTGTTGTTGCACCAGCGTTGCCAAGCCGGCACCACTCCAGCCGAGTCCTTGATTGTAGCAGGTGAGAACACGGGGATCCAACTCGGCACACACGGCTAAACTTGAGCCCACGGAAGCCAAGTAAGCGGCCGCAGCATGGGCAGCACAGGAACGCAAACCCAGGCCAGCCTGCGCATAGCCACGAGCTGCTTGGTGCCAATTTCAGCTGAGCATGGATGGATGTTCGTGAGGCTTCCAACGCAATGTCGCACCAGGGCATCGAAGTGGAGCAGGGCCTCTTGCTGAGCGCACGCACTCGTAGGAGCTGCAGACCTACCTGGAGGTTTTTCAAGGCAGAGATGCCATCCAATAATGGTTCACCTTCCGCATCCCTTGCTGCAGTGTGGGCCACTCAATTTCACACAGCACGCAGCACCCTACGCAGCAGGGTGGCGGGGAGATGAGCCCGCAAAGTGTCGGCATCCACGCCCTCAGCAAGACAGCTTCGCGTTTGAGAAAGACAGCTGCAGGCCGATTGCTGCAGCACGCCTATAAACACCACCCCTGTTTATAAACAAGTCCCCCCCCATGCTAAGTACAGCACCTCGGCAGCATTAGTTCTGTTTTATTTTTTTGTTTTTCGTTGCGGTTACACACATGACGGTCGGAAGCAAGAAGAGAGGAATGCTGCAATCTATTGAAGTCCTTGGCTTCAAGCAGTTGGTTTACTACCAGTCCCAGAAGCAGTGGTTAGGAGAGAAGATGAAGACAGATGGCAGAGGTGTAACCACTGCGGTGATCGGACGAGAGGCAGTTGCGAAGCAAGTTCTCGGCTTCATCGGCAAGAGCCTGCCGGTGGCAGTCGCTGACCCCTTGGGCTTCCGAGGGATGAAGATTCTGAAGAGCTGCTCGACCTGTGGAGGCCCATGTTCTGCCAGTGCATGGGCGGCCGTGTGGACACCAGCACAGCCTTCAGCCTGCCAGAGCTGACGGTGCATCTCGAGGGGACAAGCGTTGTCTTCACCGGCTTCCGTGCCACCCAGGAAACACAGCTCACGTCGCAAGAGTTCCTTGACCGCTGCGAGTGGTTTGCAAACTTGTCCGCCGGCCAGGGCATCGTCCTGCCGCCAGGGATGGTGTACATCATGATCAACCTGGAGTACGACATCGAGAAGGATGGCCGCCCCGAGGGCAATCCAGCCCACATGCTGAAGTTGTTCGTAATGACGTCCAGCTCCTGCAAATGGGCATCGACAAGCCTTTCAAAGGTGGTCGCCCGCACCCCCGAGCTGGGTGCCAAAAGAACAGGTAAACTTCTGAACCACTTCCTCAGCGTGCTGGACTAATGGGCAAGAGACCCATTGTTTTCTCCCAGGGCGTTCGTTGCAGAGGCAACGAACGAAAAAGCTCGGCGTGTACACAATCTGTTGGATTGTGTTGCAGGCCAGCACAACATGGTTTCACTAGCAGGCTTGCGGCGAGCCATGATCCTTTCAAGCCGGGTGTGGCATCAGATGAATGAGAAGGAAAAGTTCGGTTCCCTTGGGAGTCAATTGAAAAGCTAAGCGATTGTTCATTCAAGCACGACGAGGTTTTGGCCCACCAGGTTTCGGCTCAAAGTCCTGCTTTCTCTAATTTGAAGACTAGATGATAAGTGTCTGCTGAGTCTGAGGCCACAGCCACACAAGGATATGCTGAGAGCACCCTTGTGACAAACGACTGCGTAGTTTGCCGGTGCCATTCTGGGAGGGTGAAACCCTCACAGCCCAGGCCACCTCCTACCCACGGGTGGCACCTCCCCCCTGACGGTGGCTATAACTCCACGACAATGTCTTGGAGTAATAGCCTCCGTCAAGGCAGAGGTGCTGGCCCGCTGGCTGTAGTAACTTCCAGCCACATTGTGACGGTTAATTATTATGCAAAGTCAATGACTTGGCATAGTACCCGCCACCATGGCAGCTGCATTGCTCGTCTGGCAAATGGACTGAAGCCCGAGCTTCGATCAGCCATGATCGCATGCCGGCTGTCAAGACTGCGTGCTGCCTCATGTGTTCGATTGCGAGGATGCCCAGACGGCCAACATGGTAAGCTTAGCATATGCAACTGTTCTCCGGCAGTGACATCAGATGAGCTCGATGGCCTGAAAAGTTAGTTTCCATGGAGGTGCTTAGCTCTTGCTTGTGTCTCCTTCTTGACCCACTAGGTTTTGGCTCAAACTCCTCTTTCACAGCTTCTGTCTAAGATGAAGAGAAGCTTCGTAGTTGATGAGGATACTTGGGACTCTGTCACGAGAGATTTCGAGAGCCGTGAAGCTGCGACCTTTTCGACTCCTGAGACACCGGAGCAGCAGCTCAAGGTGGAACTGGAGATTTCGAAATATCGGCTGCAGCTGCAAAAAGATTTGACGGCTGCACTGCGTGCAAATCTTGATCAGCTCCTCGACGAGCGAAAGGCACGAGAAGAACATCAGGGCCCTAGAAGAGCACATCAGGGCCCTGAAACAATGGCTGAACGAAGACTTGTGTGAACTGCTCGGCGTCTTGCAAAACTCAGATTGCGAGGAAAGTTGTGTCATGGATGTAGCGGTGCCTGCTGTAGAGGTGCCTGCGTCAGATCCAGAAGAGTTCCCCGAGACCCAGGTCATCCCTTTCCAAGGGATGGCCCCTCCGGTGTTGCCTCCTGCGTTCGATTGCGGTGAAGATTCGCAGCCGACTGACACTCTGGATTCCATGATGATGGCTCGCTGGAACAAGTAGGCATAAGGCATAAGTTTTGTGCACAGAGCTTGTGGGATGAGAGAGAAAAAGGTGCATCACGTGTGTGTGTGTGTGCCGTGTGTTGTTTAGGCGTCTAGGGGTTGGGGCTTTGGGGTTGTGCTCTGAGATGTGTGTGTGTGTGTGTGGATTTCAGTGGGAATGCTTAAAACAACATGTGAAATCATGTGTGCCTGGCTAGTAGGTCTGCTCGAGACCCTAGAAGGCAATATCGTGGGTTTTGGCAGGCAGCGATTTTGCACTTGCGTTGTCTGCTGGGGTCGTAGCAACCTAGCTGAGCTGACGGGTTTCCCCGGTGCAAGTACTTGGTATGGGAAGTGGCCAGACCACTTTTCCCGAATTTGAATTTTTTATGGCTCCGAAAACGAACCCCCCAGTCGTTTTGATGACAAACTTGAAAATCGTCGCGTTTTTTCCAAACCCCCTACCGGTTTAGCTCGAACCCTCAGGGGGGTTACCCCCCCTACGGTTGTAGATGAAAACTTCATAGGCTCACTGTTATCTGGATGTAGTTGACGTGCGACTGAACCTGGCGGAGCTGGAGAGATCGTTTTGTACTGTGTACAGCAGCAGAAGCAGCAATGTCCGACATGATGGTAGCCATCGAGACGTGCTACTTGCAGGTGAAACACGTGGTTCTGGTTCTGCATGCTTAAGCTCCAGTGCGCAACGACCGGCTTTCTACGTGCAAGAATCCAGCTACAGAGGCAGTCCTCTTCATCTTCTTTCCTATAGTCTAGCAGATTGAACCACACCCCGTTGCTGCGCTGTGTCAGCTGCGGCTTGCGACGAGGTGCCGTTGGCAGATGTGGCAGCGGCGAGGGCCTTGTTCTTTGCCTTCTTCTTGGCCAGCTGGTCCTTCCTGGCCAAAGCCTTTTTGGCATCGTTGACCAAACCTCGGAAGGCCTTCTTCCTCTCCTTCACCTGGGTTGGTGGGTGAGCACAAAACAGATGGAAGAAACAACGGTTCGGATACAACTACGACTGCGACCAACACACTACAAACCACATACGTTACCTGAAATCCTAAACCCTAAACCCCCTAAACCTTAAAGGCCAGTCCCCAGGACCCTTCTTGCACGCCTCCGTGGCCTCCTTCAGGTAGGTGAGCAGGTCGTCATCGTCCTCCGTCTGTGCCATCTCTTCCTCCTTGGTTTTCCGCTTTGCCGCGGCCGCGAGCTCAGGGATGGATTCAAGAAGAGTGTTCAAGTCCGCCTCCGTTGTTGACTGGAACTCTTCCTTTGTTCCTTCGTCCTCCTCTGTCATCATTGCCTGAGTCTCTTCTCTCAGGCCGGTGTAGGCTTCCTGCTGCTTGCCGTGCGCGGAGGCAAGCATGGTCTCCTCCCGGGCATGGGCATTCTTGATCTGCAGGAAGAGCACTGCCCTAACGGTTTTTTTCTTGTCCCTTTGCTCAGACCTTTCCTTGTCGGAACGTTGCTTCTCCATCACCGTTTTTGATCTCGCTCAGCCTGATCGAGGTCTCGGGCGACATGCAGTCCCGGCACCGAGGCGTTTTCCATGCCTTGGTCGAGCATGGCCTTGTGCTGTCTGCTCTTGGCAGACAGCCAGCTCGCCCTGGTCTGTGACGTCCATTTGCTGGCGAAGAGTTCCTGCTACGCTGTACTCCTGTGCGAGCTCGCCCAGCAAACCTGTTGAAACTAAAGGCTTCTCAAGCCTTCTTCCCACACTACACTCAAAACGCACTTTTCTCACTTCTCGGGCTGACTTGCTTAAGCCTCCGTGTCGCGGTTCACACACATGTTTCATGTGTTCCTGTGATTACTATACACTCTCTACTTGGGACTACGTGCACTAGGTTACAAACGAACACGCCGCCTCAGAAAGTTCTTGCGGGTTCCTAGGGTGTTCTGGAAATTGCTAGGGCTTTCTGTACAGTGCTTTCGCTACGGACTTTCGTCTCCGTTGTTCTTGGTCTTTTACCTAGCTGCACTCCTGCCCTGTTGCTACTTAAGCCTTCTTCGTCTGCCCACATTGGCCTTCCTGAAAACCTACACTGTATGTACAGCTACGTTCTAGTTAGGTCCAGCCCATGCATGGACTCTTTGTGGGGAGGCCCGTACCTCGGTTTCCTTCTGCCCTTACGTAGTGTACGGGCTTTTCTCCTTTCGTGCTTCTTGTTCTTTGTTTTGGCTTCTCCGGCTTCTCGCCTCTTCTGGCCCTTGTACCTTCCTAACCTGCCTGCTGTGAAACTTCTTGTGAGACTTTGGAAGGTTGTAGTGTTCCTAGGCTTGCTGCCCCGGTTTACTACGTCTTATACAACTGCTCACAACTTTGTACATGAATTCATTTGCTACTATACATCAAGACAGGAACTTCCTTAGCTATGTACATATGTACAAGCGCTCACTGCTTGACCTGGTCGATCATCCCTTCTCGGGATCTGTTCACTGCGTCCAGTTCTTGGACTTCTTTCCTTTGCCTTTGCCCTTGGGCGTCCATTGCTCCCACTGCTGCTGTTGCGACCATTCCTCTGGCGTCTGCCAGTAGCCGGGATTCTGTGGGTTCGCGTTCTCGTACCAACCACTGTCGTCGGTGTTCCACTGCTCGTTGTACCACCAACCTTCGTAGTGGCTGTCGTCCCATGAGGGACCTTTTCCCTTGCTTCCTGTGTTGTCGTTGGACCTGCCCTTGCTGTTCAAACGGCATTGGACTTCCTCCCCGATCTTCTCGTTCTCCTTGTTCTGGAGGTACTCGTCGAGCTTCTTGCCGTCCACGAACCAAACTCCGTACTTGCGGAAACAGTCCGTGACCTTGTTCCAGAGGAGGCGGCCTTTCACGGGTGCTCCTTTGATCCGCTCGGATCCCTTCTTGCCTTCACGTGCTGCGCAGTACTCCTGGGTCTTCTTGTTGAACTCCCACACGTAGCCAAGCTGCGTGAACTCTGCCACGTCGGGGTTGTCTCCTTGGCTGCTTGCTGGTTTTTCTTCTTGGTCTTCTGTCTCTAAGGGCTTTGGTGGCTTCTTTCCTTCTTTCCGTTTCTTCTCTTCTTCCTCCTGTGCCTCTCTCTCTTCTTTCTCTTTCTGCACCTTGGGCTTGAACTCCTCTTCTTTCTCTTCTTCACCTTCGCTTCCTGACAAGGCTGCACCTATGGTTTCCTTGAGGCTTTTGATCTTGTTCTTGTAGCTTCGGATCTTCTTCTTAGCTTCTAGCAAGACTGCGTCCACTTCCTGAGAGTAGCCTTTGAAGTAGTGGTAGTCGTCCTTGAGGGCCTTGTAGTCGTACTGGAGGTCGTCGAGCTTTTGGTTCCTTACTTTCTCTTCTTGCTTTAGCACTTTACCCTGGGCATCGTTCGCTCGAAAAAGATTAGGTGCACGCTCGAAACCGCGGGTTCACGTGAAAATTTCAATTGCGCTCGTAAATTACAATCGAATGCGCTTGGTTCCGAAATCGTGTGTTTCTTGCTTCTATTGGTTTTGATGTGTGTTTTCTATTGGTTTTGATGTGATTTTCTATTGGTTTTTATGAGAGTTTTCTATTGGTTTTTATGAGAGTTTTCTATTGGTTTTTATGTGAGTTTCTATTGGTTTTGAAGTGCAAGGGGGGGGGGGGCAGGACGGGCGAGAAAATGGCCCAGAGGATGGGGCTGGACAAGTCCCTGCACATGTTCAGAACAAGTCCCTGCAAACATGGGGCTGGACAAGTCCCTGCTAAGACATATTCAGAACTGCAAAGATGGGTTTGGACAAATCCCTGCTGAGACATATTCAGAATGGCCAACCGGGGCTGGACAAGTCCCGAAAGACATGGTGCAGAATTCTCAACCACAAACCCGTAAACCCTTCTTCGCAGGTGCTCTTTGCGAGAACTGCCGCTGTGACGGCCCGGGCCTTTTGGGAGCCCCAGCTCGCAACCTGAAGCCTTGCAGTCGCAAGTCTTTTCAAGTGCTTGCTGCTTTAGAGTTTTGCCGGCTCGAGTTCGAAGCAACATTCGCGGCCATGGAGAGCTTCATGAGACAGAGCGACTTGGAAATCACGGCCGATCTTGAAGAGCTGTCATGGGACGAGAAGAATCGTCTTCTACGACTTCTCTGCAACCATCTTCATCCTACAGTGCCTATGCTCCCTCCTGGAGTTCGGAAACATCGGCCTGCTTGCAAGCAAGTGTGCCCAACGTGCTGGGAGGTTTGTGGTCGTCGTTTCGAGCATATGTCTCACGAATGTTGCAAATGCCAGGGATACAGAGTTCATGTACAGCCTGATGCCCAGTAGCTGTAGAGCCGGCACAAGAACAGTTTTGATTGGGGTCGAGACTGCTAAGCGGTGACAAGCGAAAAAATCTTCAGGCGAGACCGTTGGTTTTTCCTGCTTAATCTTGCCGTTTGCTGCGGGCTTATCGATTTCTGATCGTCTCCGCAGCTATTATTCCTCCAGTGGCATAGCTCCTGAGTTGCTTTTTTGCGAGGTTGCGGAAACGATGGGCTCTTTCTGCAGCCGCCGCCGTTCCTGTTCGCAGCGCTGCGAACAGTGCCAGCAACGATGGGCTCTTTGTGCCCGCCACAGGGCCAACCACAAGCACCACTGGTGCGCGGCCTGTATCGTGGACTACTGGAACTGGCAGGACGACGCACGAGCCTACCAGAGGCATCTCTTGAGAGAATATTACGAAAGTGGCAATTGGCCTGGCCACGAGGATGAGAACGTCCAGATCCATGAAGAATCCGAGGATGAGAACTTGGACCGCATCAATGAAGACTCCCAGGAGGAGAACGGGGATGATGAAACCCAGAATGAGAACGAGGAATAGGCAGCCAGACCTGAGCCGAGCGCCGCAGTGTAAAAGAACGCTGATCTGCACGTGCACTGTGTTGGAGGTTTACCCGCTGTGCCTTTGCATGCTGCATGTGTGCCTGCCGCTCAGAGTTCGTAAAAATGATCGCATAGCTCACGCTGCAAATCTTTCATGCATGTGTGGTATATGTAAGTTAGAACCATGAAGCGAACCGCCGCTATGGCTGGCCTGCCGTGTTTCCAACAAAGGGTCTTTCGGATGGTCGTCGTGCTTCAGGATGCTGCGGTCACCAACAATGAAGTCTGGCATTTTCACTTACAGGTAAGCCATTCTGCAAACGTGGATGGGGCGAAGAAAATGCTTATCTTTCACGTATACCAAAGATCGGGATATGAGCTGAGGGCTCGAAGCTTTCGCCTGCAGCAAAACGGAATTCATCTCGGCTTTATGGAACCCATCACGAATGTGAGGACTCTTGATCCTGTGCACTTCGTTCGCACAAATGACGACTGAAAACAAGCTTCATTGATTGCTTTGCCGCAGTGTCCTTTTATGCGCCGTGAGTTCTGCAGCATGGATTCAGCTGAAAATGTTTGTAGCAATTTTGTGGCTTAAAGGAGGGAAATTGTTGTTTGAAGGACGGAATCCCGCCGCCATGATTTCCAGCGAGGAGCAGTACGTGGCCTACGGGAGGGCGGACGCTGCAGAGAACAAGGAGGAACAGCTGCTGAGCGAGCTGTCGCAGCTCCTCAAGCAGCCGCAAAGCGAAGTTGAATCTTCATGGCGGCTGGCAAAGGAGACCGGCTACTGCCTCCATTGCTCGAATGTGTATCTGAGGCCGTTCTTGGACAGCAAATCTCTCACCATTTGCGATACGTTATTGTATCGACAAGAGTATTGGTGCAAGTGCGAAGGCTGAAAGGCTGTAAATGCCTGCTTCGCTATAAATAAATTAGCTCGCCGGCATGACCTGGCATGCGATCTTGGGTGCAACGAAAAAAGCGCCGAGTGTCCGAAGCCCTCCGATGATGTGTTAAATTGCTTGCAGCCATGTACTGTGTTGCATTTTTTGGGTTCGCAGCAATTTCTGGCTCAATATTTTCTCGAGGATCGTATAGTATAGTTTTGGAAAGAAATGGCACCTCAGAAGCGGAAGTCCATCGGCCCGTATGACAAAGATGGCCTGAAAGAAGGCCTCCGCAACCACGTCAAGAATCGCGGAGCAGAGTTGGCTTTGAAGCTGGGTGTCTACGACAGCTTGAATCGTTCCAAGGCTGTGTCAGCGACTGGCTTGCTTTACGTTTCCCAGCTCGTCACGGTGATCCTGGACAGTTGCCCCGCAGCTGAAGTCCACGTCGCTGTGCTCAAGGAGACCTTCCAGGATCTCGGGACCCATTGCAGGATGTTGCCGGGGAACATGGCCTTGAAGCATTGGGCAGGTTGGATGACGGAACGCATCACAACCATCTTGAATCATCTGAGGCGGATCAAGCTTTCGAAACAGCGATACGCGGAGGCATCGAGGAGGCTGACTGCTAAGGACAAGGCAGCCTTAGACGAGCTGCTGCAGAAGATCAAGATCGACAGAATGGCTGCTGCACCGTCGAAAACAACAGCAGCCTCGCCCCAAAAGCGGAGTTTGAAGCCGACCGAGTCAGTGGAAGCCTCCCCGCCAAAGCGGACTTTGAAGCCGACAGACACACTGGATTCAGATGGGTGGCCTAAGTTCGGCGGGTTCGTGGCCGCGGACGCTGAAACTGCAGAATCCGTGCCCGCTGAGCCTAAATCCTCCAGCGACGAAGAGGCACCAAGAACCTCTGCACTAAAGAAGCCTGCAGCGAGCAAGGCCGTGGTGATGAAGATGAAGAAACCTTCTGGCATCCTACGCAGGCCCCAGTACGAGAAGATGAGCCAAGCCCAGAAGTTGAAGGCTCGGCCAAACGGCTGCGGCAAATGCCGCCACAGACCAGGATGTTGCAGGTCGTGCATCCCACCCTAGATTCTTTAATTTCTGGAGGCCAGAATGGACTTTGTTGAAACATGTCGTTGGACCGAGTGCTGAGCAGTTTGCATATCTGTGCAGTATACTTATATGAGCTGCATGGTGGCACGTGTCCGCTTGCTCAGGTCCTTGGCTGCTGCTGGTTCGGAATAATGATTTGAGTTGCCAAAAGCCTTCCCAAAAGTCAGGGCTGAATAAGCCCTGAGCTGCCTGGGGCTGCACAAGCCCCAACAAATTAAGGCTGCTGAAGCCTTAGAAGGGCTGAGTAAGCCCCCTTGAAGCTTGGGGCTGAACAAGCCCCTTGAAGCCTCGGGCTGCAGAAGCCCTTGGTGCCTGGGGCTGTACAAGCCCTAGGCTAGGCTGCAAAAGCCTCCGACAAGACCGCAAGATGCTGCATGATGCTTGGTGCTGAAGTTGAATAAACCCCTGCCAAGGACACTCCGCTTCAAGATCGAGATATGCTGCAAGACATCAGCATGAAGGCTCGCCCGGTGAATCGTGCAAGTCCTTGCCGAGTTGCCGCAAAGCAACAATCTTGGAAGCACAGCTGTACATCTAAAAGGCTTTTGAGGCCCAAGCCCTGACTGAGCTCCGCCGCCCCTTTTTGTTCGCTTTAATGGCGAACCGGAGGGCAAAGAAGCCTTGCCAGAAGGAAAGAAGGGCCAAGCGGGCTGCTAAGCGAGCTGCAGAGGCCAAGGCCGCAGCACGGCCGCCGAAGGCTTCGGCAAAGCCAAAGACGAAGGCTGCAGCAAAGCCAAAGGCGAAGGCCCAGACCTTCCCGGCAGCTTCCTGGCTGTTCTTGCTGAGCCTGCACGCAGCAATGAATGCCGATGCCGACTCAGCCCCGCGGGGTTCAAGGGACCCGCCTCCCTTAAGGAGTCTGCTTGATCAGGGCATGCCTTTGCCCGTGCCCGTTGCCAAGAAAGATGATGAAGGCGACGAGGGTGAAGAAAATGAAGAAAGTGAAGAAGAAGAAGGCTTTGAAAGCGACCCGGTCGTCGACCCGACTCCTCCGAAGACAAAAGAAGATGAGAAAAATGATGAGAAAAAGGATGAGAAAAAGGATGAGAAAAAAGACGACTACTACAAGGACTACCAAGCAAAGCCTGAGAAACCCTCAGGGGTTTGGAAGCAGTTGGTGCCTACAGGCGCGGGGCGGTGGATCTGGCTCAGATACTGCCGCTATTGCCACTCCAACAACTATTGGCGCAAAGGCTGCTGTTTCAAGTGCAGCAGTGAAGCACGACTTCGTTCGTGCATCCACGAACACCTTTCGTGGAAAGGCAACCCTCATGCCAAGGACTTCGCCGAGGTCGCCGCCGAGGAAGCTGACGCAGCAGCCCCAGCAGACAATGCCAACAATGCGAATGCAGCCCCAGCAGCCAATGCCGACAGTGCGGATACTGGGGCCCCGACGACGGCCCCGACAACAGCCCCGACGACACGCTTGGCACTCCCGGCTCCTCCAAGCGAAGATCCTCCCGAACCTCCGCCTAGAGATGCACCACCGTGCGAGACAGAAGATGAAGAAAGAGACGAGAAGAAAGATGACGATACTGAGAAGGAGACCAAAGAGAAAAAGCGCCGCCGCGGCGGCCGCCTGTGCTTAGGCCGCAAGAAAGCTGCGAGAAAGGGCGACCCGGATGTCAAGAAGCCGGACGAAAAGAAAGATGACGATGATAAGAAGGACGGCGACGACAAGGGCCGTGGTGGCGGCCATGACTTGACGGCCTAGGATGATCGAACGAGCCAGCTCTTCCGGCTCTTCCAGCCGTACCGCCAAAAGATCGAAAGTGCTGCTGCATGTAGATGTAACAAGCCTCTTCAACACAGTACAGTTTGTTGTCTGCTGCCCTGTCAGGTTCATCGGCGACCTCTACGAGGGCATCGAGAAGGGTTGCGGAAACCCACAATACAAAACGGGCTGAATAAGCACCCAAAAAATATTGGAGCTGAATAAACACCAAAAATTATGGGCTGGGGCTGAATAAGCTCCCAAAATATGGGGCTGAATAAGCCACCAGAAATACCGGGCTGAATAAGCCCCCGAAATACCGGGCTGAATAAGCCCCCCGAAATACCGGGCTGAATAAGCCCCCCGAAATACCGGGCTGAACAAACCCACAAAAATGGTGGGCTGCCGGGGCGATGCTGATTCAGGCCGGCCATTTATTAAGGGTTGGAAATCGTAGCCAAAAAAACCATGAAATCATATGAAGGAATATGAAGAACCATGAAGAACCATGAAGAACCATGAAGAACCATGAAAGAATATGAAGGAACATGAAGGAATATGAAGGAATATATTTTTTACCATTGTTGCCACCACTCAGCACTGCCCACACGCCACCGTCGCACGCCACCATCACCGCCAGCCAATGCCCAAAACCGCCGCCGCCACCCACCAACCAACACCGCCACCAAACAACTGACCACCCAACCCCACCTCCACCACCCAGCCTCACAAACCCAGCCAATCCAGCCAACCCACCTCACCCACCCCACCCCGAAAACCATCGCCCTGCAGCCCACCCCCATGACTTGTCCCGCCATCACACAGCCACCACCACAGCCGCCGCCACCACCCACCACCCACCAACACCACCACCTGGACCCAGACCAGCACCACCACCACCCAGCACCACCAGCACCACCACCGCCACCACCCCACCACCACCGCACCGCACCCCACGCATCCAACCCTGAACCGGCATGCACGACCAACCGCCACACGCCGCCACCGCACCAACACGACCCCACGCATCCAACCCGCAACTCGCACCACTGCCACGACCCACCACCGCCCGCCAGCCCCCGCCAGCACTGCCACCACCACGACACCAACACGACCCCACAGCCACGCACCACTGCCACGACCCACCACCACACCGACCCCACACCCACGCATCCAACCGCACCACTCCCACGACCCACCACCACCCGCCAGCACCACCACCAGCACTACCACCACCCACCACCGCACCAACACGACCCCACACCCACACATCCAACCTTGAACCTTCAACACCCTTTATCCCTTGCTCGGCTTCCCACCCCGAACGAAACCCCGAACCCAAACCCCAATCACTTTCCCTCCACACATGCATGCATGCACACACACACAGAGATAGATAGATAGATATAGATATATATATATATATATAGATAGATAGAAGATAGATAGATATATATATATATATATATATGTGTGTGTGTGATTCAAGGTTTGGGGTTAAAGGGTTTAGGGCTTACAGCTATATGTATACATACGCATATTATAAAGACACTTGTGCATATATACAATTTAAATATATACACACATACACATACGCAGGTGCATATCCCTGCTTCATCTCGTTCATGAACTTTAAAACACACACACACACATTCATTTATTTGCACATTTTTTGTAACGGGGTTATCACTTATAAGTGATAACCCCGTTACAAAAACACTATAGATTGTCTACGTCATACAAAACATGGTTTTTGTAGGGACATGTTAACATCAAACGCCTGTCAGGTCTCTCTGAGTTTGCTGCTCATCGAGATCCTGAACTGGGAGGCAGCCGCCGAAACTGTTAACATCACAAGCCTGTCAGGTCTCTCTGGATTTGCTGCTCGTCCTGAACTGGGAGGCAGCCGAAACATGAAAAGCCGAAGCTGTTCACATCACAAGCTTGTGAGGTCTCTCTGGATTTGCTGCTCGTATTGAACTGGGAGGCAGCCGAAGCATGAAACATGTGCTCAGGGTTGCAGGACTGTGGAAGAGATCGAAACAGTTTGAAAGACTACGCTGTGTGACATCTGTAGCTCGAGATTTTTTATTTTCCAACATCTCGAGAATTTTCCCCGTCTGCTGCCATGCCGTCGATGAAGCGCCCGGCTGCCTCCGAGGGAAGCTCTGCCAGGAAGAGCTTGAGGGCCGAAGACTTGCAGTTGGTGGCCGCCGAAGGACAAGAGCTCGACGAGAAGATCGAGAACTTCAGGCAAAGCTCCGAGTGTGGATCCGGCACGCAAGCGGTGGATCAGTTCTTCAAGAACTTGACCACCAATGAACGGATGAGTATTTGGAAGAAGTTTGAGAGCGACCGGCACAGCACCCGGGCCAAGGCCAAGGAAGTCAACGACGCCTTCGAGAACTTGAAGGGCAAAGGCTCGATGGATCAGAAGAGGTCCATGCTGAAAGCATGGCTGAAAGGCGGCTTGAAGGAGGCTGCCATCGTGGCCAGCCTGGAGTTTGAGAACACCACGACCAAGGCCGAGGAAGAGGAGTGGCTGCCCCTCCACAAAGCGAAGTCGCACTACGGCGAGTCCGAGCTCAAAGCTCGCCTGGAAGCAGGCGACTTGCTTCAATTTCGTGGGTCTGTGATCGTTTGCAGGGCTAAGTTTTAGATTTTGCAACATGTCGGCTTTATGTGCTTTCAACACGGAGGCACGCTGGAGTGGAGGAAGTGCAAAGACGACAAGAGGTTCATCGAAGTCCGGAAGGTGAAAGAAACCCGGAAGAGAGAATCAACGAGTCGCCATCGCATGTCGGCTACGGGAACTGGGAAGCTTCAGAGCCCCGGGCTTTTGGCAAACCTTCTTTCGGAGAGCGAAAGCGAGGAGAAGAACATGCCGGAGGACTTGGAAAAGTTGCTGGGTGTGAAGAATAAGGAGAAGGAGAAGGACCAGAAAGCCTTGAAGGAGAAGGAGAAGGAGCAGAAGGCCTTGAAGGACAGGGAGAAGGAGCACGAGAAAGCCTTGCAGGCCTGCGACTCGGCGAGTGTCGCTTTGGACGAGACGGACAAGGAGAAGGCCTTCACGAAGCTCAGCACGGCGATGAAGTACGCCAGTGCCACCCACGACAAGATCGAGCAGAAGATCCAATTCGGCAAGATGTCTTCAGAGATGAAGGGGATGGGGTCAAAGATCATGAAGTCCCTTCGGGCCGTCACGAAGGATTTGCTGCCTTTGAAAAGCAAGCTGAAAAGCGCCAGCACAGCGACCAAGGCGAAGAAGCTGTGCCTCCAGATGGCCAAGTTGATCAAAGACGGCGAGAAGTGGATCAGCGAGATCCCCGCCGACAAGTGAGTGTGGCGAGATTTGTTATCTCCACCGCTTGGCCAGCTCGATCGCTGACCAAGCTTCGCTGGATATATCCTGTATACAGTTTTGATGTTTTGCTCCTGCCGCAGGAAACGACAGACTAGAGCCTCGCTCACGCTTTTGCTTGAAAATGCCGCATGACATGCACAGTGGAAGGATAACGCCGGCACTGCCCCATGTTTGGGATAGTAGACTTGACAGGCCAACTTCCAGGCCAACTTCCAGGCCGAAGTCTTTGTGCCGACTCTGGTGCTTCATAAAAAAAGTGGTTGACGGACCGAGTGCCTTTTGCAATGCCTGCAAGCCTGGAAGCAGCTCCTCAAGCTCGTTGTTGAGTAGCTCAAAACCGACAATGCCTGGATATAGGCAGGCTTTAGACCTGCAAGCCCATGGGCCTGGAGAGGGCAGCGATGTCGAGCATGACATGCCTGCCGTAGTGCAGGAGCTTCTTCTTCTATGGTCTCTGGGCGAGATGTCTGCAGCTGCTGTCCAGCGACTGGCTCATTCTCTGGTGTTGGACGGCCAGAGACATGAAAAGATCCTGGAATTAGCAGCATTGGGGGCCTTTGGGCAGCAGCCAGGCAATGTGAGCAGGGACTTGCTTACCAGATATAGTGGAGATATCCGGGTATGCAACAGCACCAAACTCCAGGTGCCGTGTTTAGACCCCAAGTCCAACCCCAAGTTGAGCAGAGAGGAAACATCGTTGTTGCTGCCTCACGACCTTTTCGTCTCTTTAGCCGCCGAGTATAATGATACGTTCCAAGCGATCATGGGGCTAGATAAAATACCCGATTTTTGGAAGCAAGTTCGCCGTGACGATTGGCATTGGACTTCGGAGTACCGACAGGCCGATTTCTCCAACCCTTACTGCATACCGCTCTGGCTGCACGGAGATGGTGTCGAGTACGCAGACAAAAGAAGTGCCATGGTTCTCAGTTGGGGAAGTTTGACTTGCTTGGGCTTTGCCCCAACAGTGTCAGCCTTGTTCGCTTGTTGCTTTGCTAAGCAGGCCACAAACAAGGATGAAGATCCGGATGGTGTGGAGGATACATTTTTGCCTCTGTGGCAACAGCTGAAGTGGTCTTTCGAGGCTCTCCTGCAAGGGGATCACCCGTCCAGGGATCACAACGGTGACCGTTTTCCTCCAGGGAGTTATCGTGCCAAAATGGCTGGGAAACCATTGTTTCAGCCGGTGCCAGACGGACCCAAGTACAGAGCCTGCCTGTGGTCGATCGTCGGCGACTACGAATGGTTCAGTTTGGACTTGAAACTGCCACACTGGAATTCCAAGCAGATGTGTGGTTGGTGCAATGCTCGCAGAGATGACGATGCCAAACTTTGGAGCTGCTTCAAGCACAAAGGATGGAAGTCCAAAGGCATCAACGACTATGAAGCCAATCCTGTGTTCACGCAGCCCCACATTTTGTATACTTTCCCATTCGTGCAATCGTTGAGTATATGCATTGATGTGCTGCACTGCATGGATCTAGGGGTCCTGGTGAGGTATGAAGGATCCGTTTTAAAGCATCTCATCTACCACGAGCTGCCGAGCGATGCCCGAACCAACCTTGACAGAGTCTGGGAGGCAATTCAAAATCGATACGAACCGAATTGCAAATCCAGGCTGACGACCCTGACTTTGGCCATGATCGTTCCCAAACCGAAACCGCCTCACGCATCCCACCCAGTATTGAAGCTCAAGGCGGCTGAGGCAAGGCATTTCTTGCCCCCGTTGACTAGCTGTTGTGAAGCATTGGGGCCGAAGACAAAGGTGCAGAAACTGAGGTTGCAAGGTTTGAAGCAGCTGTGTTCGTGGTATGAACTTTTGGACGAGATCGAGTTCGTGCCGAACGACGCACAAGCCAGAAAACTGAAGTCTTTGCTGCACGGCTTTTTGATGGTCAATGAGGAGCTGTGTGAATGGGCCAGAGAGCAAGGTTTCAATATTTACGAACCAGTACCGAAGAATCATTATTCCTATCACCTCGCAGAGCTTGCGTCTCACCCAAACGGGTCTGGAGCTACAAGCAAGAGTCTTTCATGGGGGTGATTGCAGGTGTGGCAAACTCGTGTTCCTTCGGCACGAAGCTTCCCAGGATTGGTTTCAAGATAACTGAGAAAATGAGATACCTCATGCACTTTCACTGGCAATTTGGCCGGGTACAGGACAATGAAGACTAGAGTGTTGCCACTGCTGCAGCTGGAAGAGGTCGTGTCGCTGCCACGTACCGTGTTGCCTTTTTGTGTTTTGGTGGATCTGCAGTAGATGTATCAACGTTGGGCAGGTTGGATGACGGATCGCATCACAACCATCCTGAAGCATCTGGGCGATAACAGGGGCTGCAGAAGCCCCATGCGATTGGGCCGAAGAGGCCCGCCGACAACAGGGGCTGCAGAAGCCCCATGCGATTGGGCCGAAGAGGCCCACCGACAGCAGGGGCTGCAGAAGCCCCAAGCGATTGGGCCGAAGAGGCCCACCGGCAGCAGGGGCTGCATAAGCCCCATCCAAGATGAAGGGTTCAAAACATGCATATATATATATGCTTAATTCATATAATTTTCTATTGGTTTTGATGCTACTTTTCTATTGGTTTTTATGCTACTTTTCTATTGGTTCTTATAGTGGTTTCGCTTGGTTTCTTTAAGCATCCACGCTTGGTTTTGTGTTCCCGATTTTCTATTGGTTTTATGTCTGAAACCAATCGAATGCGCTCGAAATAAACCCAAACCAATCTCTATTGATATTTACAATCGATCTCGAAATTTTTCAATCGATCGATGCCCTGGGTAAGCTCTCTCTCAAGGTCCTTCTTTGCTTCGTCCACGTACTTCTTCGCGTACTCCTCTCCCTCCTCGTCGTAGCCAGCTGTTCTTTTCTGAGCTTTTCTCTCTCTCTCCTCTCTGCTTCTTTGTTCTTCTTTGCAACCTCTCCTTCTCTTTCTTTGACCTTCTCCTCTGCTTCTTCGAGGGCTGTCTGTTTCACGCATAAGGCTTCCAAGCACCTGGACGATAAGCGCAAGACGATCATGCAGTTCTCCAAGGGTAAGAGCGTTACTCAAGAAGATGACTGGCGTTCTTCTGAGCCTCCTGCCTCAAGAACAACTGATTCTTGGAACGGTAGGACTATCTTCAAGATTTTGCTTGGAGGTATCGAGAGTAGGACCTCGGTACCAGCTAAGTCCAAAGATCTCCAGAGGACCGGCAAGCCTGGCCTGGGTTCTGCTAGAAGAAGGCAGGAGCATCCGGAAGCTTTCCTCAGGGAAAGGTACCGGTAGCGAGAAGGATTCGAGCCAAGGGAAGCTTTCCTCAGGGAAAGGTACCCAAGGAGTCGGCTCCTCCTCCTCTTGCTCCTGAGGATGATCCGGATCTTCAAGAGTACGAACCTTCCGGACCGGGGGACGCAGATTTGCTTCCTCCGAGAGCCCCAGAGGCTCAGTCACTAGAACCTAGGAGGATCGCGGTTCCATTGCCAGGCCACGAGGTCTCAAGGGCTTCTCCGCAGTATCAGCGCATGTTGGAAAAGTTGAACAATGATGTTGAGCTTTACAAATTGCATGTGAAGCATTACCACATGAGTTCAGCTCAGTTTCGACGAAGGACCTGCATGCTTGGGCTGCCAGGGGAGATCTGAGAGATCTATGACAAGTACGACCGCATTGTCAAAGGCTGTCGTGTTTGCAGCACCTCCGTGCCTACGCCTCCGCGAGCCAGAATCGCAGGGCTGAGAGCATCATCCTTCGGTGATCTCATTTTTGTTGATCACGAAGACATCAAGTTCGGCACTAAAGCCTATCTGGCTTTGGTCATCATTGATGGTGCCTCGAATCTCCTGTGGGCTACGGCTCTCACAAGCCTGGAAGCGCCCGAGTTTCGACAATGGACAGAGGAGAACAACTGCGTTCCTAAGGGAATCGTAGGTGATCAAGCATTTTTCACACCACAATTCATGTCCTCTTATAAGTTCCATGGCATTACTCCGTATCCATGCGGACCACGGACTCCTTGGCCTAATCGAGCTGAGACCGCTGTGCGTCTTTAAGCGCACATGGGGCATTATGGCCAAAGCCTTGGCTGATGAAGGCTATGCAGAGAAGGTGACTGTTCGTCAGGCAGTCAAGAAAGTGGCGTGGGCAAGGAATTGCCAGCTCACCGTCTCAGGTTATTCTCCTTTGGTGATAGCCACGGGAAGACGGCCACTAGACTTGTTTGACGTGGAGAACAGTTCTCCGGAACAGCTCTCTGCTGATCCTGCTGAGGAGGATCGTACTACTCTGGAACTCCAGAGGATTGCCATGCGGGCTCATCAGGAGGCCAGGCAATCACTTGATCTCCGGAAGGACCTTGCGCGCAGAGTCATGCCGGCTGATGGTCCGTACACAAAGGGTGATCGCGTGTTTGTGTGGCACAAGGATGAGTCTAAGAAGAATTCTGAAGGAACCTGGATCAGAGGTATAGTTGTGTCACAATAAGAAGGAGCCATGGTTTTGGTTGAAGTTCATCGTGCCGTTCTTCGGGTGAATCAGTCGAAGGTTAGGCGTGATGGAGATCCTTGGCATGATGTAACTATTCCTCTGAAGCCTGATGAGGTCCCGAGACGCTCTTCTCAGGAAGAGGCACTCGACCGCATCGGCGACGATATTCTTGATCGTGCCGGTTCTGGGTTCTGCTATGAGCATGAGATCTGTTACCACACTCTCACTTCAGGCAAGAGCGATTTCGCTGAGATCACACCTTGCCTCACCGGGCTTACTGCGTGCACCGTCCATTCTGGACTTGATGCGAGTGAACCTGTGTTGTTTGGTGAATGGAATGCCGATCGAATCTGCTTGGCAAGTGATCTTGAAGGCTGAGCCTAATCACATCTTCATTCATCCTGTCATTCCTGACGAGTGGTCCAGGAAGGCTGCTAATGCCTTCTGGCACTTTTGTGCCGAGGTCTGCCGTTGGCAAGATGACAAGGGTGATGGGTATTTTGTTACCATCATGTATCCTTCTCATTCTGGGTTCTGGCTCTCTCAGAGCAGTCGCTCACTGAAGTGGAGAAAGGGACTTTCATTCATCACTTTCAAGAACCGCGGTGAGCATCAGCATGGTGAGATCTCCCTTCTCACCAATCTGCCTGAGGGATCATTTGCTTGGTTGGAGTCGCTTGATGAAGGCTATGACTCTTCGACCACACTTGACCCTAGGTTTGCTGTATTGCTGTCGCAATGTCTTGTGGGTGATGAACGATCAGATCTCTCAGACAAGCGTATTTGTTCGAGGATATCTTTGAGGATTTCGATGATGGTACATTGTGTGCGTTGTGCTTGCGTTCAGATAGAAATTCAGAGGCCTTGCCGGTTCTTCCCTCAGAAGCAGAGTACTCGTTGCTCTCCAACAATGACAAAGGGAAGCTCCCGTCACCTCTGAAGCTTGTTGCTCCACAGCGCTTTGTTACATCGTCTTTGGTCCAAACTCTGTCTTACGTTGACAATCTCCTTCCGGGTACTGAGTTGGAAGTTCACACTACCACATCTTCCGATGCGGTCGCCTTGCGGCCCATGATTAAGAATGTGCGAGTGCTGACTCTCCCTTACCTGGAATTTGAATACTGTAACGTCTACAGGGGGACTCAAGGGAAACATTTCCTTTGGTTCATCGTCATCCGGATGCTGTTGTGATTTTGTGGCAGAAAGGTGACATGGATCATGTGTTTTTCGTAACGATGGCACAGTTGCTTCCTTGCCTCAAGGATATGCAATCAACGAATTGGTCCATGATAGTTTTCTGGAATGAGTCACAGCACAACACTTCCAGACGAGGGCCTGATGTTGGTTTGGACTTCACGGACCAGCCAGCGCCGGCACCTTGCACCGCAACCGCCGGCCAATGATGATGATGTGGACTATCCTGGGTACGATGATCCACATGGCGATATGCCTGTGGACGCATGGAAGTCCCAGCAAAGGCCGGAAGACAGTTGGAGTGATGAGCCTTCATGTTGATGATCTCATCAGTGGGACCCCTGAGTTCCTCACTTGGTTCCTTAAGAAAATAAAGGAACAATTCACTGTCGGTCACGAGGACAAGAACGACCTACGTTCACCGGACAGCGTGTTCGTTGGGTTCTATCAGTTCTCTCGCTTGGCTTCAGCATCTGCTGCTCCGGCCGTCGGTCACTGCAGGGAGTTGAACAAGTTGTGTCGACAGATACGCAGTGAAGAGGTTGAGTTGCGGGTGTGGCCAGTGAAGGGATCACTGAGAATTCTTGGAATTCCTGACGCAGCTTTTCGTAACAACAGCGACAAATCCTCACAGAGGGCGATGACTATTTTCAGCGCCGATGAAAGGGTCAAGAATCGAAGGGACACCCGAGGCTCATTGGTCTTCTTCGAATCAACCAAAATCAAGAGAACGACCCTTAGCACTACTGTCGCTGAACTTTATGCCTTGATGAAGTGTTTTGGTACCTGTCAGATGCTTCGTGGTTTGTGGAAGGATATTAGTGGTCTTGACGCTGAGATTCACATGCGAACCGATGCTAACAATCTCGTGTCTACTGCTTCTACTACTCACTCCCCGAACAACAGGAAACCATTCACATGATTCAAATGCTGAGAAAGGAAGCTTGTTCAGGGGCGATTGCTGATCTTTCTCACGTTCGAACCGAACATTGTCTTTCTAACTGCCTCACGAAACGAAGCTCCTAGGAACCTCCAGAACTCTGTTCAAACTGGGTGGTTAAAGGAAATCGATTCACATCCTCCTTTTCGTTCTATGATTGAGCACAAAGCTTTCTTGCACGCCTGGCTCCGTAAGGAATATGCGGTTTTGAGTTCTGTGCAACATGTCATGTTCATGCAGGAGCGTTTATGAGTCATGTCTGCTTCATGTGTGAGCTGTCAGAGCAATTCAATGCATGTGCTTCATGAAGAGTTTTTGGTCTGTGTGCCTGCATTGCTCAAATCAGCTGGTTCAAAACTTTAGTGAGCAAGTAGCCCACAACTTCCACTTCTGATACCAGCATGGCTGCGGCAGGACCCTCGATGGATGCTGGACGCTCCTCTC